TTTTTTTTTTTTCCTTTTTGTCTTTTTTCGTGACCAGCAACGGATCGCAACCCCCAGTGTCACGCCTGTACCGGACCGGGACCGGCAACGGGATCGCAACCCTCAGTGTTGCGGCCGCACCTCGCTCAGCCAGTGAGCGGCCGGTCTGTATGTGGGATCCGAACCCTCGGCGGGAGCGCCACCGCACTTCCCAAGCGGTGCACTATAGCAGTGCACCATGGGGCCGGCCCTACCTGTCATTTTTTTAAGGAAAAAAAAAAAAAAATCTGAGGCCTTCAGGAGGTGCTTGGATAGTGAGGGCCCCGCCCTCACCAATGGATTAATCCATTAATGGGATAATGGTTTAATAGGTTATCAGAGATTGGTTCTGATGGCTTTATTAAAAAGAGCAAGTGATGTGATATTCCGTGACGCCACGGGACTCTGGGGAGTCTCCACCAAGAAGAAGGCCCTCACCAAACGTGCTCCTGGACCTTTGGACTTCCCATCCTCCAAAACTGTAAGAAATAAATTTTACTTTCACATGAATTACCCAATTTCAGGTATTCTGTTATAAGCAACAGAAAATGAACTAATCCATGCATCTACAAGCCAGGGAACCCCCTGAGGCCACCAGAAGCTGAGAAAGAGCCTGGAACAGAGTCTCACTCACAGCCCTCAGAAGGAACCAACCCTGCGGACGCTTGGATCTCGGATCTAGCCTGGGACTCGGCTCGCACGGGGACCTCCACCTGCAGGAACTTAGGAAGGGAAAGGCCACAAGAGAAGCAAACTTCTCAAACTCAGAGCCCCGCGGATGGTGGCGCCAGAGCACCACGCGGCCTCTGGGACGCACCCTCCTCTCGAGCAGGTCCTCGGTGCCCCCAGGCCAGCGCCGCCCGGCCCAGAGAGAGGCGCAGAGGTGGCAATCACCTGGGCGCCTCGGGCTGGCTGGGAACAGTCCCGCGGCTGCGTCCACAGCAATTTCGGAAAGGGGAGGCCCCCGGACTCACTGTTGGCCGCTCTCCGGTGCCGCGGGCGTCCCACGCGGTCCAGCCCGATGGGCGTGCTCCGGGACAGGGCGCAGGGCCGGAGCCGGGCCGACACGGCTCTGTAGGGCGGCACCTGGTGCGCGGGCACGGGCGGCCGCGCCGCCGGCTGCGGAAGGAAAGCAGAGGCGGTGAGCGGCAGGAAGCGCGGCCCTGCCACCCGCCGGTGGGCACGGCCTTCTCGCCTCGAAGCCACGCCACATGGGAAGTGGTTTCCCCAGGCCCCGCCGAGAGCGGCAGGCTGCCCCAGGCTCAGCGCCACCCGACGGGCCACAACGTCGGCCTGTCCCTCCCAGCATGCTGCCTAGGCCTTCCGTGCTCACCCCTGCAGAGCTTGCAACCGAGCCCGGCGCATGCAGGCCCTTACAAGGACTTGAGCACCTGAAGACAGTTCCTGCTTCCTAAACTAACAAGACAGCTGAGCTTTGTTTAAAAGAGTTGGTTTTGCACGTATTTACCCAAGTGTTTTTAGAACTGTCTATAACGCCCTTCTGATTTTGCATATTAGCAATCTCTATAACTGTGTGCCAAAGGCCCAGTTGGTTCATGCTTCCCTTAGTTTTCTTAGGATTTTTACACCCCACTCCCTAAATAAGGTTACAATGCAGAAAATTATTTTACTACACTCCTTTTTGATGCACTGAAGTGAAATAATTTCTAAAGGCTTTAGATCTTCTCTATACTGTTTCAACTTAAGATAGATTACAATTTGCTTTAATTCAGAATTATTTCTTAGCAGGTGGAGCAGCTTAAAACAAAAGGTTCTAAAAGATTCATGGTATTCTTCGATTTAATTTATTCTTACCTTCAATTAAAGCAAGTTTTCGAGTACTTGCTATAAACAAGGCACTGTGCTGGGCTTTACAGGGAGAACATAAGCATACAATCCAATACTAATATAGAATTTCCCATTTAAGAGAATTTCACAGGTTATTTATGACATCAGCTAGCAGGTTTTAAAAATGAAATTGGACATATACATTACTCATGCTGTTCTGTGAACATTTGAACATGGCCAGGGTATTAACCTCACCAAATAAATATAAACTCCTCCAGTTGAGGGTCTTTAATTAAATGTTTCATACCTTCAAAGTGCTCATTGGGTGCCTGATAAATAATTGTAGAATTACTAAAATATACTAAGGGACCAATAGTAAGTGTTTAATCTGTTGTCAAACCAGTGCAATGTTACAACTTGGAAGTAAAGAGTAAGAAAATGGTAGGAAAAAAATTACTTCGTCATATCCTAAAACAAACAAACAAACAAACAAAAAACCAAAAGAAACCCTATTCTTTTCCTCTGTTGGGAAAAATAGGAAAATGGTCAAGGCCCCTCAGATGTTCAGAATCTTGCCGAGCATTTGCTGTAAATATCCTCAGGTGCTCTTTGTTACTACTTAATGTAAATTGCGTATGGACACCCAGGTGAACAGGGTTGTGGACTTAAGTATAAAAGACTAACAGCTCCGAGCCACAGAACTCTCAGAGAAGCCACTAGGACACTTACTCCTAGATCTGAATAAAACCCATTCATTTTTCTATACCTATGGCTCCCAGAACCTTTTTTTCTATTACCTAGCTCACAGACCTGCGTGTGGAGGGTTTGTAACCCAATCTGTTCAACAGACTTGAGGGGTCTGTAAGCCCTAGCTTTACATCCTCTTATCTTTACATTTTGACAATGAACAACACTTTCTTTTTCAAGAATTACTTTTTTCGGGACGCTCGCTAGATATGCATTGCCACCTTCTTCTGGTTAAAATTTCAAGTGGGGCTGGCCGGTTAGCTCAGCTGGTTAGAGCACAGCCTTGTAACACCAAGGTCACTGGTTTGGATCCCCATACCAACCAGCTGCCAAAACAAAAAGTAAAATCTCAGGTCATTCAGAAGCAAACTAGTTTCACATTATTACTTGAGATCCCAGCAAAGAAAGAAGATTAGTAAAAGGCATCCCAACGTCAGATGGTTAGTTTGAATTTATGCATGTTTTCAAAGTCAGAAAAAGTTGTGAGTACATGATGCCATCCTTGAGGAAGAGAGAAGAAAGGAAAAGCAGCATCCCGCTTAGTCTGTAGTGGGAGAACAAAGGCCAGGAAGCTGAGGGTCTTTGCTTTGGAAGAAGCACACCAGATCTTACTTGGGTTAGCAGATTCTCTATTTCCTCTGCCTGGCTGTTCCCATAGAAGCTGACCCCACCGATCACAGAAATGGGGCGTCTTCTCAGGCCTCCTTTAGGGCAGCCCAGGGAGGCTTTCTGGTCTGCAGCGCCATTAGAGGTCATGCTTGCCTGGGGGTCCCCGTCCACAAAGTCCTCCTTCTGGGGGTCTACAGCAATTGAGTCTTCAGGAATTGACAAACTCCGGCCGACCAGCTGGCCATAGTCAGAGAGTGGACGAGGCCTTGATCGCCTCCCAGAACTCCATCTCCTCCTGGGGATTCTCTGTGCCTCCGTCCGCTCTTCATCCTGTGATGTGCCTCGGCTCCAGGGGTCATCAGTGGCAACCTTTTCAAACGCGAACACGTTAGGTGGGCTCAAAGGTCCAGGAAGCTATTAAAAAAGAACAAGCTGTACATACATACTCCCTCCCCCTCCTCAGCCCTGCCTCAAGCCTTTCTTGATTTACTTGTTTATTTAAAAGTTATCTGTGTAATAGAAAGTGAAGATGCAACTAAAACATGGATTAAAACAACCAAATCTATCCTTCATTCCAGGCTGAATTAAAAGCATAATTTAAATAGTAATGATTGGTGACCAATAAGGAGCTACAGAAAGGGCATTAAGAAAATCAGCATCACTGTTTGTTAATATAATGAACTTATAACTATGGTGTCTCCCAAAATATGCAGAACAATAGCATGGGAGGAAGGCAGGCCTGCCCTTAGAAGAAATGAACTGCTATACATAGGTGCTCTAAGGTATGTTCTTTCTATAGTGCACACTACTTAAAAATAGAAGGTGCTTTAAGAAGATTAAGTCCAGAGCTGTTAGGACTCAGCACACAGTCTCTTGCTCAGGCTGGCAGCCTCTGGGCAGCAGTCTGATGGGGAGAGAGCTCCCAGCTAGTATTCAAAGAACTAGATCAGGCTCTGTGAGCTTGGACAAGTCACAACTAACCTTTCTGGATCTCAGACTGCAGACTGGCCAATTGCACAGCTCAAGATTCTGTAATCCTGAAGGAGGCAACACCTTCTAATTTTTCAAATAATTTTTTTCAGAGGCAAGGCAACGTTCTAGAAGAACACATGAGGTCTGTAATTGGGCAGAGTTCCGAGTTGGTCATTGTTTCTGGGCCAGGAGCTAACTTCATAACCCCAGGCAAGTGAGTTCACTTGGTGATTTGGTTCTGCAGCTCTTCACTGGGGAATAGGTCCTTGTAAGGATGAAACAAGACCACAGTAATAGAGCCTTTGCAGCTGGAGTTCATTATCACTCTTGAAAAGCTGTGCCTTACAGTAACCAGCCCCAGGTTCAGCCCTGCCTCAACTTAGAGGTTATCCGGCCAGACCCCTCAAAGTCTGGCTGCAGAGAAAGGCTGCTTCAGAGACCTGTGGGAGCAGAGCCAGCAGCAGGCACTGGCCGCGTGGCAGGGAGCCAGGCCCGGGTGCCCTCAGCTCTTCCATCCCTATACATTATTTACAAATAAAAACAAAAAAGGCTCTTGGGCCACAGGCACAGGGAGGGCAACTAGAACAACGAGAGAGAGCACAGTCTGATGGCAGTCACCCCTGGAGCAGCAGCGGAGCTGCTGGCACAGCCTCAGGCAGCCCTCCCCCCAGCCCCCTCCCTGACNAGAACAATAGCATGGGAGGAAGGCAGGCCTGCCCTTAGAAGAAATGAACTGCTATACATAGGTGCTCTAAGGTATGTTCTTTCTATAGTGCACACTACTTAAAAATAGAAGGTGCTTTAAGAAGATTAAGTCCAGAGCTGTTAGGACTCAGCACACAGTCTCTTGCTCAGGCTGGCAGCCTCTGGGCAGCAGTCTGATGGGGAGAGAGCTCCCAGCTAGTATTCAAAGAACTAGATCAGGCTCTGTGAGCTTGGACAAGTCACAACTAACCTTTCTGGATCTCAGACTGCAGACTGGCCAATTGCACAGCTCAAGATTCTGTAATCCTGAAGGAGGCAACACCTTCTAATTTTTCAAATAATTTTTTTCAGAGGCAAGGCAACGTTCTAGAAGAACACATGAGGTCTGTAATTGGGCAGAGTTCCCAGTTGGTCATTGTTTCTGGGCCAGGAGCTAACTTCATAACCCCAGGCAAGTGAGTTCACTTGGTGATTTGGTTCTGCAGCTCTTCACTGGGGAATAGGTCCTTGTAAGGATGAAACAAGACCACAGTAATAGAGCCTTTGCAGCTGGAGTTCATTATCACTCTTGAAAAGCTGTGCCTTACAGTAACCAGCCCCAGGTTCAGCCCTGCCTCAACTTAGAGGTTATCCGGCCAGACCCCTCAAAGTCTGGCTGCAGAGAAAGGCTGCTTCAGAGACCTGTGGGAGCAGAGCCAGCAGCAGGCACTGGCCGCGTGGCAGGGAGCCAGGCCCGGGTGCCCTCAGCTCTTCCATCCCTATACATTATTTACAAATAAAAACAAAAAAGGCTCTTGGGCCACAGGCACAGGGAGGGCAACTAGAACAACGAGAGAGAGCACAGTCTGATGGCAGTCACCCCTGGAGCAGCAGCGGAGCTGCTGGCACAGCCTCAGGCAGCCCTCCCCCCAGTCCCCCCCGCCCGGCTGGGAGTGAAGAAAGCTAACTGATGGTGGCCCAAGAAGACACACCTCCCCCCGCCAGTGACAACAGAGATCTGAATGTAGCCTCATAATTTCCAGTCCGATGTGTCTGTACATTCTCTAAGATCATATACCATGAAAATCTGAGGAAGCAATGTGTAGATGCTGTACTCCAACCCCTTACTTTTCTAATTAGGAAATGAGGAATTAAAAAAGTGAAGCAACTTGCCCAGGGCCACACAGCCAATCAGTGGCAAGAAAGACACCAAAATATTCCAATCACCTCTGCTCAAAAGAAAATCCCACATGGGTCCTAGCAATCTCCATTTACCCTTCTATCTACCAATTCTTACTGCCTGCCACCCTATCTTTAATTCAAGTCACCACTGCAGGGGTCCAGAATATGCCACTGTAACATAAAAGTTATTCTGAGCTGAAGGCATTTGAGAACAGGCTTTTTTTCTGAACTCTGTTATCCGAGTAAAAGCTGAGCCTCCCAAAAGAACTCACCTGTCATAAACCTCCTGGTATTTCTTGCAACCAGGGAAGAAAAGAGAATCTGCATCTAAACAGACATTGTCACAAAACTATCATCTATTCTCCTCAGGGCCCATTTAGTTTTGGTAAAAGTCATGTTTCCCCATAAGTTCTCTTTTCCTTCCCTTCCCCTATTAAGATGGTATATAAGTCTCAAATTCTAACCACTTCTGGGCTGGCCGGTGAGCTCAGTTGGTGAGAGCGTGGTATTTTAACACCAAGGTCAAGGGTTCCGATGCCAGTACCAGCCACAAAAACAAACAATAATTCTAACCACTTCCTCGAGTCCCACTTGTCTATGAACTCCTGCATACATACACCCCCCACACACCTGTCTTTCTTTTGCTAATCTGTCTTTTGTCAGTTTAATTCACAGGCCCACAAGAACTGAAAGTATGAGGGTCAAGTTTTTCCTCCCCATCACCACCATGGGAAAATATGAGAGGAATCATGGAAAAATTAATATTATTTTCTGTACTACATATGAAAAATTGATTATTATGGATAATTTAAATAAGTTACTTAATCAAATGACATAGACAAGTACACAGTGAGAATAAACCCATTTATAGTATCACCTTGTGATAAAAAGGTTCAGAAACAACATGCTAGATACAGAAGTACAACAAATTCACAGTCAAGGAGTCAACTAACTGCTCACAAATGTACATGCAGTTTTTTGTTCTGTTTTGTTTTCTAGCTAGGTTTTTTTGGATTTGGGTTTGTTTTGTTTTTGCAAGGAACATGCAGCCTGCTTTCTCTCACTGATGTGGAAAATAAGGAAATACTGCAGGAAGTGCTGGACGCTGGGTAAAGGTAGGTGAGCTCAAAGCAGGCATTACACAGCAGGTGAGGGGTCCGGATTCTCCCGCAACACATCACACCTCAGTGTCAGCTTCCACTCCTACACAGGCGGCACTATAAAAACCAACTATAATTCTACTTTCAGTACTTACATCACTCCACTGAAGAGATAAAAGGAAAAACACCCACTCTAAAAAGCAGCAAACGTCCTAGGAGTTGCACAAAGTAGTTAACAGAATAATATATAAAACTGAAATGTCCATTTAACTCCCAGCAAAAGTACAGAGGGAAAAATGGGGGAAAACCCCTCAGATTTAGACTCACATTCAAACACTGATTCTTAGCTGAACAGAGTTAAATTCCTTGTAAAACAAATTCGAATTTTGATGGATATCCTAAAATTAATTTTTTTTTTAATCTAAGTTTACGTACTTCTGAAATATTGCCCAGGTTCATTCCAGGGAATGTAGTTTGACTGTGATCATACTTGGAACTACAAACACACATACACCAACGAACACCCTTCTTCGACAAGCCAAGCACCTACCTGGGGCTCTGCCATGGGCAGCGGCCCACAGACACACTGCAGGAACAAGCAGTGGACCACATCCATGTTCTCTCAAGAGTCTTTCTTGCCTTTAAAACACTATAATCAAGGATCTGGAAGGCCATGCCAGAGCTCTGCCTAGTCCAACCCAGCAGTCTCAGCTTCTGATCAACCCAGGGCTCTATCAGCTTGAATGGTCAGTTCACACCCAAGTCATAAAGTTTTGTAAACAGACTTGTCAGTGGAGTCCCGCCCTTTCAAATCTTGCTTGTCTATATGCTTTTAAGGTACTTTCCCTAGTCAGTAGCACATTTGTTTCTTCCTGTACAACATTTCTTTCTTTACATTACAAAAGTAAAAAGCCAAGATAGATCTTACATACAGCTAGACACTTCAAAACATTTTTTTTTGGAAACCACAGTGAAAAGCACATTATTAATCTGAGGAAAAAAAATTGCACAGAATAACTTGATTTCACACACATCCATTCAGAAGCCTGACCTAAAGTAAGTAATAGAGGGTCAAACAGCACTATGTTCCCCAACAAGTTATGTAGAAGTCCTAACTGGTTTTATTCGGATTTTGGACCTCTGCAGATGTAATCAAGTTCAAATGAAGTCAGTCACCCTGGATTAGGTGGGCCCTAATCCAACGGCTGGTGCCCTTATAAGAAGAGGGAAATCTGGACAGAGACCAACACAAAATGAAGAAGCCATGAGAGGATGAAGGCAGAGATCTACGAGCCAAGGAACAGCAAGGATTGCCAGCAACCACCAGAAGCTGCAGGAGGCAAAAAGGAAGCTCCCCTCACAGGCTTGGAGGGAGCGTGGCCCTGCCTGCACCCTGATGTCGAGCTTCTGGCCTCCAGAACTGTTAGAGAAAAAATATCTGTTGTCTTAAGACATCCAGTGTGTTGCAATTTGTCACAGCAAGCCTAGGAAGCTAATATAGCAAAGTAATTCAGAAAAAAATATAGGCAAGGAAATGAGATATGCTTTGCGAATATTTAAAAAAAAAAACTAAAGCATCGTATAACTTCGTATAATGTATGCTATACGAAGTTATTACGACATGGAATTCCCTTCCCACCAGTTTAACCAAATGCCCTCAGGGCATTTCATGCAGAAGTCCTTGGAAGACAGAGTTGTAATGGGGTTAGGAGCATGAGCTGCGATCAGACTGGGGTTTGAGTCCAGGCTCCGTTACTTTCCAGCTATTTTAGCTATGCCAGACACACACATTGCTTTAAGTTCACAACCACCACATGAGGCAGGTACTGTTCGCCAAATTTTACTGATGAAGACACTGGGGCTAAAATAAACGAAAGGTCTTGCTCATGTTAAAAGAGCCAGAAAGGGAAGGGGCCCATTTTACAACCCTGTCTGTCTGACTTCAAAACTTCTGTCCTTTCCACTCTGCAACCTGCATCCTCGGCATAGACTTTTACAGAAGAAAGATGGGACTCTGTAGGTTTTCCTCCCTTGAGATAAACAACTGCTTGGAGGGAGGGGAAAGGGAATGACAGTTGTCAGAGGCTCTGATAACAGGTGCCCTGGGCAACTGGTGAAGCCTATAGACGCCTTCTGAGAAGCATGTTTTTAAATGCATAAATAAAAGAGGATTGAAAAATAAGTCAATTATTTTGTAACGCAATTATGAAAATATTAGAAGAATAGTAATATAGCAATGTATATATTGTCGCATATGAATTAAAAGGACCAGTGTTAGGTATAACACCATATGCTGAAGAACTGGTGAGTCTAAGTGATATTTCAAGATACCTGCAAAAAATGGTTGTACAATGTGACAAAGATCTGTGATCAGACAATATCACAGGTACTGCTAAAATTGCTCTGGTTTGACTTTTACGTTCATAATTGAAGGAAATGCTACATTTTAGCCAGAGGCTAGGGAAACTAAAAATAAAAGTCTATTCCCTCATTTCCGTCCACGGAGCTCTTGAATGAACATGGGATAAAATTCCCAGGTTAGATAACATCACTTAGGAATAGCCTATGGTACCAGCCATGTGCTCCAATTCCACAAAAATGAAATTTTAGGCCTTACAGCTTATAAAATCAAAACAGTAGCATCTCACTATTTGTAATTATACCTTATCCGTGGAGGATAAGGTCCAAGACGCCCAGTGGATGCCTGAAACCGCAGAGAGTATCTAACCCTAGATATACCATGTTCTTTCCTACACATACATACCTATGATAACGTTTAATTTATACAGTAGAGATTAACAGCAATAACTGATAATAAAATAGAACTTCTATAACCATGTACTGTAATGGAAGTTACGTGAACGTGGTCTCTGTCTCTCAAAATACCTTGTACTGTACTTGCCTATTTTCAGACTGGTTCAGAAAGTGAAGCCATGGGTAAGGGGGGGAACTACTGTAAATGAGATAAATATTGCTCCCTCCAGGATGCCTTTTTGCCCCTTATTACCTGAAAAACGGATCCTTCAAAATTCAGTTCAAGTATCACCTCCTGTAGGAAAACTTTGTAAACTCCCCTGGTCACAGTCAGTAGCTCCTTTCTGTGCCTCTATTAAAACCACTATAGTATCGACCCAGCATTTATTTATCTGAGTGTCTCACAAAAGCAGCTATTTATGTCCTTTCACTGTCTAATACTATCTTAAAGTCCTCAGAATCTACAGTGGTGCCTGAGAAACGGGCAATTAAAAATGCTTCGTGAATGGGTCAAGGGACGAATGGGTGAGTTGACATAAATGAACAAACAAATGGACAGTTCTGGGTGGCAAGGAAGCTGTCCTCACCCTATATGCCGTGATTTTATAAATAAACTTACTTTCCTCTTTTGAAATTACTGACTGAGGACTACAAAATACTCCAAAATCAAGG